TCAGGTAAATAACGCGAGGGGTCGAGAATTAGTGGATATAGTAGGAAAAATGAAAGAGGACAGACCGAAATGGTATAACGTGCATTCTTCTAGAGTAGAAGAAACGAGGCTTAGAAGTTAGGTGAAATAAGTGTAGGTGAAAGCCGAACGGAAGAGTTTGAGCAGAGAAAAAAGTGGCTAAAGAGGTAATTAGGGGAGTTATGAGACCATGAGGAATAGACGGGGAGTAGATGGGTGGTGTGGAACAGACGTGGAAAAGAGTAGCCGAGCCAATTTTCGCGGGATATAGATGGGAAAAATAAAATAAAATTGTACGTTTTAAAATATTTTTGATAAATATTAGATATATGTATTATATTGTGTTAAAATTATTATTGGTTTAATAAAAAATAAGTGTGTATGCGTTATTATATTATTATTTAAAAAAGAAAAAAGTTTTATACAGAGTAGTCGTTAATCCGAATTCTCTGCGCACACGAATAATGCGGTCAATTGCCAAAAACCCCGAGCACGTATATAATGGTGTATGTGTGTATGTGTGTGTGTGTGTGTGTATGAAGCCTTATTTTCTCTCTTTTGGGGTGTGGTATCCAACCATTTTCTTTTGTTCGTCCGAAACCTTTACGGTCGGTCGGTTAGACATTGTGTATGTGTTTGTGTGCACGTATGTGTGTGCGTGCAAAGGACAAACGTCGTCCAATAAATGTGGGAGGAGATGGTGCAGGATTGTCGTATACGTACGTATAATACCGCGGGTAATACGACCGGGCCGATAACAATTAGCTCGGCGACAGGGCAATTATTATATAGCACGCGTTCCGGACGAGAAGCCATCTTCCTGGAGGAGCTGGTTACAGGAAAATGCCGGGAACGATACAGGGGTCGCCGGGGTCACGGATAGAAATTTCGGGGTGCCTGGGACTAGTGGATGAGGTATATATAGGTCGGGTTCTCCAGATTTGGGTCGGAATTCCACGATGATATTATATTCGACGCTTAACGACGACGGCCGGACACCTTGTTCCGGTTGAAAGGCAAAGGCGAGCGCGAAAAAATTAAATACGAATTTCCTCGTGGTCCGATGAAATATATTTAAAGAACGATATCGTAGTTTATTGACAGTGACCCGTAGTGCAATTTTGGGTGTATCGATCGGCCGTATTGCAAACGGTCACGGACGGTCCGCAAATAGCCAAAAGTCTCTGGTAGTGTTTCTCAACATTTTTTATTATTATTTCTTTTTTTTTTTTTTAGAATACGCACGTCACTCTCGCGATCCCCATGGCGAAACTCTCGCGATAATCTTGTTATTCAGGGATTTTCGAACTCGTAGATATTTTTCGCTATAGTAAATTAAATCCATTTCCAAGACGATTACGTATAAAATGTTCTCAATTTTAAGTATATCTTTGATTCCGGCGAAGAAGGACTTATGTCAATGTTATACGATTTCCAATTCAAGCAAATTAAATATAAAAAATTTTTTGATGAATTACATAACGACATAACTTGTAAAATGGTTTAATTACTAAACTATCTAACCTAAATGCAGGCATTCTATATCATTTAATTAATAAAATTATACGACTCGTGTTTTTTTTTTTTGCAAAATGAAAGTGAGTTGAGATATTTTATATTTCAGAATTATATTTTTTGGAATATATACCATAAACTTATGCAGTATAGACCAAAGAATAAATGTAAAACGAATTACATAAAGCACAATTACGAAAAAAAAAAATGCTTAAAATTGACTTAAGAGCCTTCTCCATGGGGACCAAATATTATACAATACATGTATTGGTTTTTATATGTTTAAATTGAATAATTAAACTGGATGTTAACTAGACTACTAATATAAAATAATGCAACTAGGAGTGAATCAAATGCCGATACTAAAACGAAAAAAATTACAATTTGCACGTGATGATTTTCCATTCGGAAATATTATAATAGCAGATGAATTTGGTCCGAAATTCGGTTACGCGCAATAACAACACTGTTTTTGATACATGATAATAATATTATTATCGTCTTCATCTCAGGAAAGTTATTAAAGTTATAAACAAGCCGTTCAATCGAAACAAATTACAATTATCTTAACGCTTTTATAGAGTATATTATTTTTATACGTATTAATACCGAGCGTGAACATTCAGCCCCTTCGGAAAACTTAAATTATTATTATTATAAGACTTTCAAACAATTCTAATAAGATTTTCTCGGGTAAATATTGTTCGTAACATCTTTATTCATTTCTTTGCGAAAATCGATTTCGTTACAAGAAGGCAAATAAGTTATACGGAGTGATCAATTCAACATCAGAACCTCTTTATCTGGAAAGGAATTCATTTTTTAAAACATCCAAGAAATAAGCAGCTCTAAAATTTTACATTACCGTTATTATTGATCACCATTATTTTTTGAGAGTGCATTCAATACCCACATTTGAGTTTTAAATAGCAACATATTTGAAACTCCATAAATATATCAAGTTTTAGTTTAATTAAATATTGGTAAAGCCATTTTTACATTTTAGCCTCGAATATTGAAATCTAAAATAGGATTTTTTGGAATTTTAATTCCGAAATATGTATTTTCGGTTGTTTAAACACAAAATCTGGATTCTTGTCACGTCGATACCCTACGGAGATACAAAATCATATAACAGATTGAACAGATTGTAAAGTTAATTTTCATTTTTTTGAGTATATAAAACGAAAAAAAATAGATAAATCTTAAATGCACGTTCTAGTCGTTTTACTGGTTGCCTTAGTAATATTTTTTTTATGGCGCGTTCCACAATGCACTCTTGTACATGAACGATCGAATACGAGACGAATTCAGCCAGTGACGTAATTAGCTTACAAATATTGAAGTAGGCGCTGAGCACTACCGTATTGTGTTATAAATGTGATCCATGTAGCTCTGTCTTTGCATTGGTTTTCATATTGTTTACGCTAGTGACTTATGCACACATTACGTAAACTGAACGGAAGAGTTCATTGATCTTTGGCTTCTTTGCGGTTTTGGAGGAAATAGATCCGAAGGTGAGCGAACGCGTGTATTCGAATTTTGTCAGACCGTTAACCTCTGCGTTTAGAGTTTAAACACATCCTAACAGCGACGGCGTACGTCCGGGTCTCGTGTGTCACTCTCGCATTAATATTTTCAACATTCGTAAACGATTTGTGAAGTTCAATTAATATCGATGCAGTATGATGAACTAACGTATTTTGTAATTTCGACATATCGGTACAGCCAAAGAGGGAAGGTTAGTTTCGAAACGAAATTATGTATACAACTGCCCTGACAATAAATATTATTTTGTATTTCAATGGACGTATACGTTATTATTTATTCTTTGTATCGTGGAACATAATACAACTATATTAAAAGTACTTTATTTTCATTCCGAGAATGAATATAATTATATGTGTACACATTTATCTTTTCCTCCCCGTTTTAAATTAGGTCTTTTTATTTATATTGTAATGGACATTTTTTTTTTTTCTACATTCGCTATAAAGGTAGTGATTTCGAGTTAGAGGCGACAGCGGTGGCTTTCTATAGTGGAGTATAAAAACGAGGCTAATAACAAAAAACACTCACGGTAACGACGACGAACGACGACGGTGAAATAAAATAGGGTATTAACTACGTTTAAGATCACTTGTGTGACACAACAAGTATTATATACCCACGACGGTGGTGGTGGTAGTGGTGGTAGTGATGGCGGTGCGTAATGGGCTAGGTGGAAGGAACGTGCAGTCATCTCGCGTCGTAAAAGTTTAATTAAAGTCAATAAGAAGAATGTTAATGAACGTCGTTTATTGTTCATACCGCTTGCTCGCGGTAACTTTTTACGGGAACATAATTTGTATAATATAGGTAGTAAAAAATAAAATAATGTACCTATCTAATTGATCGACAATTTGATTTTCGTTAAGATAATATGATTTCTACGATTTTCTCTCTCTCCTCTCCTCTTTCACTTTCTAGTGGGTATATTCATTGGTGGCGTAGATGGGTATCCTACAAAGCAGTTGCTTTATAAACAAATTAGATGTACGGATGGACGTATGAGTGCCACTTTATTATAAAACACGTTATCGAAAATTGTTATGTATAAGAATATCTAATGGTCTTAGTGACAGCTATTGATTATTTCGGGATTGGCTTTATTTGGGATATTTTGAAATGTCAGTGTAACTGGTTTCATAGAGAAAAATACTAAACATCATCGTTGAGAGGTAGGTATACTTTTGTATGAATTTTATGAGGGTTGTAGAAAAGTCGTAATTTTACTAAAGGTCAAGGTCAGTGAAATCAGCATTATTGATTTGAATACAAATCGACTTCTTAAATTTTTAATAATCTTAGTGTGTTTAACATTAACACTATTCTTTCACTTTTATTTCAATTACAAATTAATTTTGTATATTATAACGACGATTCTTTGGGATCATATATTATCCGGCTGTATTATTGTAAATTCGTATTAAAAAAAAAATGGATAATATTTTTGGTAGTTTAAAACGATGACGTATAATATTTTATAATTTTCTACTAACAACATGATATAGTACCCCGATATAATAATTTGTTTACAATAAATTTACTATGGACTACGGTAGAGAGGCGAAACACCAACCAAAACCGAAATACGATTTGCATGCAAATATCCTACGAGACCGCCAACGATGGGATTTGCGTGGGTAAAAGGTAGGTACGATCACCAATCACGAATTTGCGTATAAAGCCAGATGCGGTCAAGTAATTTAAAAAATATAATATTTTATGCGGGATTATGTCAATAAAATTCCGAATTCATCGTAAGTGTGTTTTAAGTGCCCACAGAGGACGCTATAATAATATAACCATTTGGATATTTTAGGTTAGCGTGAGAATGTTTCAATTTTTTGAAAACAAATCGATTATTTTTAAAAGCGGAATTTCGAAAAGAAAAAAATTCAACCTATGCAAAACTTAACATTATTTCTTTCTCGTGTTCGGGGATCAGGAATTGTAGAATTCGCTAATTTCTTTGTCTTGACGTCATTCGATTTGGCATTTGACCTAACCTGCTATAATAGATCTGCCATTCGAGATTACTATTCGTATAAAAAACTTAGATCGTTCAGCGCAACATTTCAATTAATGCGAGGCCTCTGAATCTCGGGAATCTTCGTGAATGCACTGCTGCACGTGCGTCGCCTTCAAACCGGGCCTGCGTAAAGACGAAATATTGTTTCGTGCGTATATGGTTCTTCGATTAACTTTACAATAAAAATATGTAGATTGTGTATTTTATAATATTATTATTCGAAAGTGAAATAAAAAAAAACTGATCGGTATTTGGAACCACGGCGGCACGGAGACGAAATAATGAATAATGGCTCGTATTCAGTCATTGTAAAATATATATGTATATAATTCAATAAACCTAATGGTCCATTATTTATAGAACTCGGTTAAAATTCTTGACATTCCTCGTGCGCGCATAATATCACGACAGATTGAACGGCGTGCGCGGAAATCTACTCGGTCCAATCGGTTTTTTTGCATTTAATACTCCTGATCTCGCTTCCCCTATAATAATATGTAATAGCATACAAAACTCTATGCAGCAGTGTGAAAACCGAGCTATAGTGACGACGGACTTTGTCGTAAAGATCTGCCAGCAGCAGCTTTCCCGTTCGCTTAAATTCTTATGGAAATTTAGACAAAAAAAAAACGAAAGTTACTATAATATAGTTTTCTCGGGAATTTTCGATTATACACGCAGACGTATACTAGCTCGGCGCGTAACCGTTGAACCGTGAGACCGGATTTTCGTAACGTGTGCAATTTTTCATTGTGATTTATTCGACTCGGTCGGATTCGCTACAATATTTTACTCGTAATAATAATAATACCTAATAATAAACACTACGACGAACGTTTGATGACCTAGAAATGTTCAAATAACGATACCTATAATACACCTAAACGGAAACACCGGAATCGTGATTTTCTGACAAAATAATACGTACTTCTAATAATATATATTCGGATGGTATCATTATTAAAATGTGATTTATCACGTAAAAAAATAATAAGTTTTTATTTGCATTACTGAACTGGTAAAAAATATGTTTCATCGACAAAGTTCAATATGTAATAATGTTCAGATGAATGTTTTTCCGAAACATCCGGAGTCGTTTGACGAATACGGCGGTAATTTCTCAAATCACAAGTAATTACTTTCCTTGATTTGGGGGGGGGAACCGATAAAAACTGGAAAAAAATCGACAAATTTACACTATTTTGGTTGAACAGAACACCACAGTTTTAAATACATGCATATTCAAGACGTAGTATAATTATAGTTCATATTTTTGATAATTGTAGAGTGATTTTTATTTTATCTTTTCGCTTAATTTTTATGGGTAACATTTAAAAAAAATAAACTAAAATAAAATGTATAAAATAAATATGTTTTTTTTTAAAGTATGTCGACAAAACGTGACAATCGTAACAATCATAAAAATCGTGAAAGTTAAAGGAATTCAATTTAAATATAAAAAAATGCAGGTAGACCAAGATATATGTTGATGTATTTTATCAAGATGTTTAGGGTCTTTGAAACGATTTGTTTTTTCTACTGGCGTTATTAGTTCATGCAATCAGGAATCATTTTATACGTAGGTCTTTGAAATATAACATTTATATTTAAGACGATAACTTCGAATAAATGATAGAATAAACGTCTTATTGCAATTAATGTTATATCTCTGTAGTAACAAGATAAATGGGCTTAAATCATTATACTATACTTTTTATTTGGTTGAAAAAGTCATCTATATTATTATTATGTTGTATAACTGGTAAAAATTTTCAAAATTGAACGTGCAATATATTTAAAAAACCATACAAAGCTGACTGGATAGCCCTTATTCTTCCAGACCAATGATAAATACTTAGGGGAAAATAAAACGGTTATTATAAGCGTAGCGTATTAACAAAGTAATTGTGAGGGTAAGTACACATTGCTAATGAATGTGAACGGTATGTTTTAGATTTTTAGCGAAGCTATGAATAAATGGGAAACGTTGGCAATTATTGGTACAATAATATTTTATTGTTGTTGATTTCTGTGTTATTTTAACTACAATGGAAAAATATGACTGATGCTGAGTTCAGATTCGTTTTTTCGTGTTTTTAAAATTTATCTTTAGATCGTATAGATATAAATTAAATAGCTATCTGATGTATACATCCACGATTCCAACTTCCTTTCTAATACAGTGGCACACCCATCAGCAGTATCAGTCTTTTTTATTATTTTTTTTTTTTACGTAAAGTTGTCGCAAATTAAATTGATACGAATATCGAGATGGGTGTATATAAGAACTACTTTAAGTACGTATTTTGTGATATTATATAGTACAGAGCATTGTGTAATAATAACACATAATCGTAGCATGGTTTATTATAATAGTACAGCGAATTTAATCCCACCCGTTTACCCCAGAATCATATCGTCTCGTATGCAGGAATGAAAGTGTCTATTATTAAAAATACACTAGGAAAGTATAATATATGTTGCGCGTCAAGATTAAAAAAAAAAAAATAAAAAAAAATACTAATATAAAAAATAAAAAATAAATATATGTTCATCGCGCGATCCTCGTAATACCCATACATTAAAGTGCGTAGTGTTTGAATAAAAATTGACATTTACAAGAGGGTGTGTTACGCCTCGGGTATCCACATGAAACCTATAGTTTTAAATGCTATACAAATTCATTCGCGATTTATGTTTAATAAACTATTGTGATATATAATTGTAAAATGCTGTCCTAGGATAATGGGGACGAGTGCAGCAACTTGTATAGCTAACGTAATGTAAATTTGAAGGAACGATTAAACATTGCGTATAATCAAAAACCGGTTCTTAGTTGAGTTCAGTTGATAGTGTAGCTTTGACAATAGTATACAGGTAATATAAAATAATTACATAATGTGCATTATGTATTTTTTTCGATAATATTTGTTTAATATTGCACCTATTTTATTGTTTTTCATTCGCTTATTTTTAACATTTATTGGGAATACTCCTGGGAAAATCAAAAAAAAAATGATCTCCTTAAAACACTTTCCAAGGCAAATTTCTTTTTAAAAAAATCACTGTATCACTGTAAATCGGCGAATAATTTCTGGTATAAAAGTGGTCCGATGAAAAAAATTAATTAAATAAACATCATTGACAATCGATACATACATAATCTATAATAGAACAGCGAATGAGTGTACAAAAATGATAAAGCTTAGGCGGATAACAGAAGATTTGATAAGAAATGAGTATATAAGAGATAGCTTTAGAATGGTTTCGATAATAGACTAAATGAAAGATAATAGACTGGGATGATTTTGCGTATATCATGGGAGAGAGGAATCTGAAGCATGGCGAATTGCAATGCAAATAAACGTAGGAAGAAACGTATAGAGAGAAAGACTTAAAAGGAGGTGGTTCGATGTGATTGATAATAATTTAAACCTTAAGGACAACCGGAGTTTTCGAGTTTGCAAATCAGGTGAAGTGAAAGTTTAGAACCCCGAATATTTGGGATGAAAGTTAAGGATGAGAATAGGTCATCGTAAATATAAAATTACTATTTTAATTTTGCGAATAATTAAATCGATGTATTCATAAAAAAAAAACAGTATACTAATTTAAAACATTTTCATGGTATATTATAAATATTCACCTAGGTACTAGGTATGATGTATATATGTATAAGTATACGCGTTCCTTTTCGTTTTCGACATGCATATAAATTCGCTGTATTGTATTATTTACTTTAAAATATTGTAAAATATAAATTAAAATGTACCTGCGATATTATAAGTTTAAACATTTTTCAAAAAGTACGTTTTTTTTTTTTGTTGTTTACAGAAATAACGAATACGAAAAATATAAATAATTGCCCAACGTTGATTCTATATCAATGCGTCCCCCATTCCCCGTATACTTTTAAAAAATTGTAACAATAATTATTATTGAATACTATGACCTACGCATTTATATTATTTTGTAAGCCACCATTTAAAGAAACTATTATATTCGTATAATTGGTTTGAATGTACAGCAATTATCGTGGTTTACGGTCAAAATCGAAATACACTCAAACCTTCCATTGTTACACGAGTATAGTATAACATTTTATTTATATTATATTTCTATAGAATTTTTACAAAAATCATTTTTTCTCCTTTCTATTCCAGTTAAATTGATATTTTACGTTATTTATTATTTATGTAGTCATACAAAAAAAAAATAAAATAATCAATATTCGTAAAATGTATTCCTTATAATACAGGTAGTGGATTTTTTTTTTTTTTTTATTCTATGGAGTATTTTTATGATAAAAACGTACCTCAATACATGAAATAGTCTCACCCTATGTAAAACAGTCTAATTTCAATTATTTTTTTGTTTAAATTGGAAAAAGAAATACTACATAAGCTATATATCTATATTTGTACAGATTTCGAAGATGTTCACCATTTCGTTTAAATCGCTTTTTTTTTTCTGTGGGTTTTGAAAACATAATTAAAAAAGATACTGACATATTTCGATCTCCTTACTCAATAACTAGATTAAAAATGAAACAAAAAAATTCTCATGTGGTTTTTATTTTGGAGTAATATTTCTGGTATAAATCATAAATTGCACATATTACAAGTATAAAGAATGAAATCGGTAACGCCTCAGCGTGCCGTGAAACTAATACATTTCTCACTTAGAATTGAAAATCGAATTACAATACGCCCGGAAAAATGTTTTCCTATTCTTACAGAAACCAAATAATCGTCATCAGGTCAACCCCACGAGGCATACAATTTTTTTTCTGGAAGATCATATGTCTTAATCATATCAAAAAAAAAAAAATAGATCACACATTGGCTATTTGATACAAACATCATATCTACCGAACTATTTGTTGAGTTTTGTGGAGTCTTGTTATTTATAAATTTTCACGATTCGTCTTTTTTTTTTTTTCAATTTTAACTAAACATTTTGAACACAATTTACATACAAATATAAAATTATACATTTTTTTACATTTTTGATTTCAAAGCTCGGGGCCATGTATACTTTCCTTTAAAAATTCTTTAAGAAGGAGGTTTCCCCTTCCGTTTTTTCATCGTTATTGCAGGCCATATTCAGACCCTCGGGTTCTTCGCGTTTCATTTCCAGATGAACGCGGGCCGCATCGTTTGTGAGAAAACAACA